TGCAATTTGCTTCCTCTGAATCGTCGGTAGTAAATGGAGATTCATCTATGAGGAAGCCAGAGATTAAAAAAAATGAAAATGCTTCCTCATATAGGAACTTTGACACTACTTACGATTTGGAGGAACCAAATTGCAAGTTTCAACTTGCAGCTTGCTTTAATTGTGGCGGTTTTCAAGGTCTTTCGAAGGTCAACTTGACTTTCTTAAATGGGAACCTATGGTTTTTATTGCAGATTGTTATGCTGTACAAACAATCAATTAACTTTTGTCTGAAACATTTGTTAATAGGATCAGTATTTTCAACAAGAGAAGAAAAAAATTAACTAAGGCTTTCTTCTATTGTAGCTCAAGAGAGTTCGAAAATGCATTGATGTTAAAGGACACCATTTTGAATACTTATTATAATATTATTTAGCAATATTAACAATAAATAGGATATTTACGCAAGAAAAAAACATTAATTAACTTTTTTCGTCTCTTCCGATTTTCATATCTACAAAATCGTTATACTTATTAATAATCCCGGCGTCCACGCTTGATGTTCAAATAACATTGAAAATACTGGTCCTAGTAAAGAATGTTTCAGACAAAAATTAATTGGTTTTTTATATATCATAACAGTCTGCAATAAAAAATATGGGTTCCCATATACAAAACAAAGTTGACCTTTGAAAAATCTTGAAAACTGCAGCGAATAAAAAATAACGGTACAGCATTTTTTACCCCCTCGAAACCAAACGAAATTTGTTCGAACAATTTTTTCGTAAAATGTTTCCTTTCTGAGATATTCGTTTGTGCCAAGTTAAACGACTCACCCTATATAACTCACTAGACTCCGTATTTGTTAAGTACTGATAAAAAGGCAAGGGCACTTAACAAAGAACAAAGGGAAGTACTTACTAATAACATTACAGATCATCTGTACGTAATGAAAAGATTAAATAAATAAACATGTTCATATGTACTCGAATTAAGGAATGAGAAGTAAAAGATACGTCATATAGTATAAAGAATATACCTGTGTATAGTAATTATACTGATGTATCAATAATCATAGGGGGCGGGTATAGAGTTGCGCCAATAATGAGTCACAGGTTTCTATGTAATTATTTGCTAGCAAATTTTGCGACATCAAGTTCTCATGGAAGTTCAGATTGAAGAGATCTTATCCGAATTAATTTAGATAATTAAAGGTATATAATTACATATCATAGCGAACACCATGCAATCCTTTTCAATCCAACCATTGTCAATGGCAACGCTTCAATAGAGCCTTACAAAACTTCAATTGAAAATTACAATATCTGTTGTATTCGGTATTATTAACAAGTTTCGTGCTAGATCGATTTTTGGTTACTTTCCGTTATGGCCGCGCGGGTCATATAAACCCCAGGCGACACGGAACGTGTTCAAATTTTCCCATGGATTTTTAATTCAACATCAACTGATATTCATATTTATCAAGGAAAAGTAATTCATACGAACAATTCTTCAAATTAGCAATATTTTATAATTTTTTGATATTTGTGATAACATTCAAGATGGGGAATCAAAAGTTTTAAATCTTTCCATATATGTAAAACTGAATGTCACAAAGCTTTAGGGTTATATTAAAAAAAAAGTGATGTGATTTGTTTCGATTTTTTTCTAACGAAAGATTACGCAGCATTGACGAGTTTCAGGAAAAGCGATACTGATAATTCAAAACTAAAAATATTAAGTACTTCAATTCAATGACATCAAAAACTTTATGAAACTGATTTTCACACAAATTGCAGCGTCTGTTATGAAAATGAAAGAAATCACATCGCTTTTTGTAATATGGTCCGCCATATTGGACTCGCCATTTCGAATATCAAAATTGTAAGGTTATATTCAAATTCAGCGATCTTTAAAACTTCAGTATATCAATTTTTATGAAAATTGGATGAATAGTTTCCAAAATTAAAAAAAGAATGTTATGATCCCCGTAATTGCCACCCATCCGAAAAGTGTTCCGTCCCAAAAGTTCGAACACTATTAATTTTTCTATGAATCATCATCATCATCAATTCTTAAACAGATTCAAAACAGATTCAAAACTAACCCAAAACGAACTGTTGTCTTATACATATGTTTCGAAAAGAATGTCTTTTTCCATATGAAATCTCGATATATAATTATCTTGCGTTTTTCAAAAACTATAAGTATGGAACAATTAAAACTGGAAACAAAAACGGAGATCGAAAAGTTTGGATACAATTTCGTGAATTGTTCCTTATAATATTAAAAAATAAGATTTTATAACAGTTACGGTAGTACTAAAAAAAATAATGGTCTTAGAAAGCAGACATTTTTAAAAATGTATTATAATCTCACTCTTCACTGATCGCGAAAATCAACAAGTCTATTGAAAGAGTACTATATATGTATAATACAATAGCTATGAATTATGCATAGACACGTGCACAAAACTATGCACAAAGCCATGCATCAGAGTTTGCATAAGAATATTGAAGTATCGTCCCTTTTCTCATGATTAAAATCAGATTGGATACTAAGGAAGTTGCTTCCAGGATTATAAAACTGTCCAACGAATTATATCTACGAAGTGTTTTGAAATACAGTACACTGAAAGATTTTTTACGTTATTAAATTCTGCAATTAACTCTCTGGTCTGCAGCATTTTTCATCTCCACGTGGAAGTAGATCCGGGTCACCATTGACTCAGAAATTTGTATCCTGTATAAGGATAGTTCAAATTTGGTATTTTTATATTGTATATAGTAAAATGAAATAGTCAGAATGTCCAGTAAAAGGATATGTATGTTAGAACATGATATGTTTATTCTAAAAGAAGTCATTAGGAAAAGAAGAGGAAAAGGCGCACAAAATAACTTTTCTGGGTTTCTTAACCCTTTTGTCACGGGTGCCGACTGTAGTCGACTATATGTAGTCGGCACCCGTTCGACGACCTGTGTGTATGTACAGTCACGCGCATTAATGGTGACTACGGTAGACGCCGTGCGACGAGGTAAGAGAGGAGATTTGGGAGGTGCCTGCTCGCGTATCTTGGCCTGTGCGTGCGATGCAGAAAGCGCTACGGTGCGAGCGAGACGCCAGAGCTTCGCACGGTGCGTCTTTGTTGCACAGCACTAGTGTAAGTGAGAAGGCAACAAGGCCCCTCATGCGCAATAGGGAGGTTGGTTGGGGACCGCTCGTTTTTGGTGGCACGCTTTCCCTCTCTCTCTCAGACTAATGCTCTATGACGAGGAGAACAGCTACTACCCCGATAAGAAACGAGAAGGAGCTATGGGACTTTCGGTAGTGGGAATGAGATAGACTTTTCGATTATCCATCCTCGTCAAACAGCGTTAGTAAGACAAAGACAGATATAAGCGACGTGGTGGCTAGGACCAAGTATCCCAGCGTCTAACGCATTTGTGAATAGGTGCGACTCAGGGACCTATGGTCGACTCGCTTACACTAGTGCTGTGCAACAAGGACGCATCGAGCGAAGCTCTGGCGTCTTGCTCGCACCGTAGCGCTTTCTGCGTCGCACGCACAGGCGAAGATACGCGAGCAGGCACCTCCCAAATCTCCTCTCTTACCTCACCGCACGACATCTACCGTTGTCACCATTAATGCGGATGACTATACATACAAGAGAATCCCGAGGTACCCCGTTCAGTGGCGTCACTCTAGCGGAGGGGACCGCCGTAACGAAAAGGTTAACGATATCTCTGTTATTTTTCATGCAACTAAAAAAAGTTATATTATATTATATTTCTCTTAGACTGAGTTTTTTGTTAACATATAATAGTTGTAATAGAATGTTTGATGTGTAAGGATTAGAAGTACAATCCGTAAAAAAAATTACAAGTTAAAATATATTTTAATAAACGAAAATGGTAAAAAGAACGAAACAAACGTGTTTTCTTATAAGATTTATATGCATTTATTGATTATAAATTTTATAAAACTTGAAAAAATAATAGTAGAAATATAAAACTTTCAAAGCAATGAAAGATTAAACTAACTTTTAGAACAATTAACAGTGAAACAGTGATTATTATATTCGTAAGTCAAAGCCCAACTGTGGAGGCCATTATACCAATTAGGAGGTTCCTTTTTTTCTTCTAATTTCCAGTATAGTGCCTCCTTCCCTTGGAACTATCTCTCAGCGGGAATGCTACTTATATAGTGCGTTTGGATCACTGGTGACCCAGATATAGACTAGAGAGTTTAATGGGCAGCCAAAAACTATTTACGTACATAATACAATGAAACGAAATCGAGAAATTCATATATAAAAACGTGATTATGAGAGACATAATTCGAAAAGTATTAGGGTATTCTCCATTATGCAACCAAATGAGACCTTCATTTATGTAACGTCAATGTACTAGTTTACTTTATATAAATAAGAGACAGATTGCAACTGATGTCTGCATTAAATGTAATATTGTGTTTATTAGATACTTATGCTGATTCAAATGAGTAAAGCATAAGTTATAAGCAAGAAAGTATACGTATGTGTCGCGTGCCTTAAGGCCCAAAGGGGTTCGTGATTGGTGCGTTTGGGCTAGAGCGCTCGAGGCACTTAGGAAGTAGTGGGGAGCCGCCGTCTCACGACAGTTTGCCCAAGGAACGTGTCCGAGCGTGTGTTTGAACATAAGTGTGGAACAATCGGTACTTTCTTGGGAACAATAGATTCATCAAAGTTGCAGTGATGTGGTATCGTGGGATGTAAAAAGTTGACGAAATAAACTTAGAATTTGAAGATGCTACAGTACTATGGTATCAAAATATAGTAAAAGTGCTGAAATATTTGTCAATAAGTGGCTGATCAAAATGTAGACTGGAAAACTAAATTTTTCGTGTCATATAATAAATTACGTCGTGGCGTGGATTCTGTGATATTATTTATGATATTGATACCTAAGTGTCTCGAAGGAGGAGGAATACGAAGTGAGAAATTTCAAGGGTGAATTATTACGTCACATTTCGAAAGATCAACAATGGAAACCAACGAAGGCAGTCAATTCTCAAATAAAAAACCGATGGGAATGAGGGTTGAGGCGAATGTTGAACATTTAAGTATGCACGTAGATAGACTTGTGATCGACGATCAACATACGTTAAAAGTATTTTTTTTGCCTAATAATGAAGTAACACCGATATCAAAGGATTCGACAGGAAATGTGAAGAAAGACGTTCCACAGACCTTGACGAAACCTCACCTTGCCGATCCTTTGGTCAACTTTTCCGGCAAAAATCATAATTTTCTAAAGGACTCTCTCAATCAACAAAACTTTAATATCGTGCAGAAAGATTTTGATAGAGCACCAAAGAAACCTAGTTCTGTTCAAAGAAGTTACTCAAAGAGTAACTTCCTTTGGCCAGAACAAGTTAGAAATAACAAGAAAAGCTACCTAGAAGAGCAATGGGAAAAAATTTTAAATCGGAGGCAGATGGATGGCGAATTAACCATATCCTATTTCTTTGACAAGTTAGCCTTATGTCAAACCGTTAATCTTGATTTTGAAGAGACAAGAAAACAGATTCTCTTTGGACTAACATCCAATCTTGTGTTTGTTCAGACGATATCAAAGTCATATAATAATGAACAGGATCTTCTTTATGACATTTTGAAAACGGAAGAATTAATCGAAAAAAGAATACGGATACGTAATCAGCAGTATAGATTCACGAATAACGAAACCTGCTATAAAAAGACGTTGCATTTACAAAAGGATAAAGTATCATTTAAACAAGAGAGTTGCGACGAAATGGAGAAAAAGGGTGAAGTACGTTTTCGATGTGGAGGTACGGGACGTTTTGCAAAAGAGTGTCAAAATCAAAGACGTATCGTTTGTTACCGGTGCCAAGAAGAAGGGCATATAGCATCCGGATGTTCAAAGAAGAACAAGCATAATAAGAAAAAGCGACAAGACATTAAACAAGAGTAATAGAGGGCGTGATTGAAAAAAAATTCACAAGTATTAGAGAGATTACGTGAAATAAAAAACAGTTGCCATCGATTACCGAGCTGATGTTTCGCGGAAAGGAGGAAACAAATGGCATGATTGATGAGAAAATGGTTGAAAAGATCATTCCGAAAATAACCGAATACTATCGATTAACGATTGCGGATCACTTAGCAATATCAAGAAGTTTACCGATATTTCGTATAGAATGAAAACGTTATAAATTCGTGATAACACAGTATATATTTACTTATAATATCAGGAAAGGAGTAAAATGTATAATTATTAACGATTGTTCAAATGATAGGTAATAAACAATCTAATAAAGTAACTGGCTATCTAACAATAACTTGGCTTGAAAATATTCTCATAGACATTACATGTTATCTGAAGTTACAAAAGCATTTTGATTGAATCGCTATTGCAAATCGCGCAAATCTGTGTACAATTTTTGATGTTATATTTTACACCAATTTTTGTTTCGTTTACTGTTGCCTCACGAGTTCTGTTGCATGATACATTGGGCGAAGCAAATATCGATTATTGTAAACTTGATTGAAAAGCAATTACAAAGCGTATAGTTTTATCATATATATTTCCACAAGAACTGTAGGAGTTACTATATGTTTACCTTTATAGATATAAATATATGATTCATGCATGCTTACATGAAAAATGTAATTTAGATCACTGCAAGGATAGCGTTCCTGCTTGAATCTCGCAATAATTATAAACATTCACATTTTTAGAAAATCAAGATCTCTTTTGTTTGTTTTTTTAACAGCGACTGAATATGCATGTGCTATTTGTATTCCACTATATTATGTACTCGTTTACATTTCTGAAGAATATATTCGTAATTTTTTTTTTATAATTTAAAGTTATATAGCTTCATGTTCAACATCTGCAGATCAAAGTATTTGAAAAGTAGTTGTTGAAATCACTTTAAAAAAAATTATCAATGCATACTGTTGAATAGAAATTTTCGTAGATGATACAAAATTTTTATATATCCAATTTTGATCATGACGCAATTATCGGAAAAACATTTATATTTAGTGATGTCATAGATTATTTCTCATTGTAAAGTTTCAATTTCAATAACAACTTTGCAGATTACTACTGAAACTTCGTCTCGTTAGTTAATTTTCCGTTTTTTATTTTGTAAAATTACACAATTTTTTGCGCATTTTACGTTTATAATAATTACTATCGAGATAATTTATATAGGAGATTTCCGTCGTACCTACAAAATAAATATGTATTTTCACAAATAAATATTTTTACGTACGTTTGGTCGCACATGGAACTCATATCATATTCGATTTCTTGTTTTTGATTTTCAACAAATTCATTTAATGCGTACCTACTCAAATTTTGTTTAATAAAATTATTTAAATATATTTTTTTGGAATCTTTAATTTGATTTGTTGAAGGAGGTTGGAATCAAATCAGTGCTAAATTTTAGTAATTGTTTTTGTAAAGTTTTATGCATTAAATAACATTGATTGAGTGTCATTTGTGTTACATCGTGTGTCCCTAATCCGGAGAAACATTATTACTGATGAATTTGTAAAAAACATTAACTAATTAATGTTAATGTATGTTTTTGTTGAGTTTTTTTCCAAGAATAGTCCGTAATTCTTTATCCTTTTTAATGCGGCACTGCTTACCCTGTTTTTCGAAAAACCCTCTACAAATGTACTGTCTAGATATTTCACAGTACTAACCATTTAAAAATGACAGCCTGTTGTTTGCCCAGCGAGAAATTTCTTCGTAGAAAAAGCTGCTTAATTATTAAGGGTTAACACTATCAAATATCTACACGGTGAATCCGTAGAGGATTATTTAAAAAATAGAATGAGCCATGAAAAAAATACAGCAAAATTTTCGGAAATTGCCATTAATCAGGTAATATTGTAAATTTATCGCTATGAATGTTTTTCTAAGTTATTAAGGGCATGTGTTATAATATATATCACCCTTCACTGCGATCAATAAATCCATAAAACTTTGTAACACCAATAAAAAGTATTTAGTATTGGCTTGTGTAGTGTGAATCGTTCCAACCTCCTTGACTGACTAGAAATGCAAACATTACGATATGTTAGAAAAAGCCAATATTAGAAAAAGATAATTTTCCAAGCACATTTATACTGTCGACGGAACAAATGAGTTAAAGTGAGGTCAGTTTTATTCCATTATATTCTGACCCTTCATAAATTTTCATTAACTTATCATTAACTTTCATTAATATTAACAAGAAGGTACATACATACATACATTATGCATTAGTAGATTTTTAACATTGTGAAATTAGATCTATTTGTTTTGTCAAGTGTACGTGCTTTTCCCAATTATCTGTTACGTTTTTATTTCTAGGATGATGAAAGAGTATGATTTATTACAAGCTCGAAAAAAAGAGGAATACCACAGGGATTTAGAGATGATTGGTTCGACAGCCGACAAACATATCGCTCAACTTCGTATCCTATTCGAAAAAGATCTTAGGAAGGTGTGTATACATGAGTAATCATAAATTTTAGATCCGCACGATATCCCCAAAGTCAATAAAGTATTACGCACAATTTACCTTCTATGAAAACCCTCGATTCCCCGTGTTTCGTGTACTGACACCGGAGGAATTTAAAAACAAATATTAACAAAATATTTTGCTGAATTTTTCTATGATACATTATCAAGAATTAGAAATCTTAAATGGTTTCTGGCTTTATGGGGTGCCATTCATGACATCTGTACAAGACGACTCAAAATTTTTTTAATTCTTGTATTTCACATAATCCAAAAAGTATTCTTGTGCATAAATATCAGTTTCTCACCAACCTACTTTTTCATTTAAAAAATTGTGTGTACGAGTCAGGTATAATTATTACAAATTTCTCCTTTATTTGAATGTAATCCAGCGAGAACAATATAAACAATAATATGGCAAAGGGTATATTAAATGATAAAATCTTTGTATCTATTGTCCAAATCTAATCTTGTGGGCATAATATCACAAAATTGATAATAATCTATATGATTCCGTACAAGGTATTGAAGATTATTTGATTCTTCAACTATTCACATATGTCAAAAGTCAAATGCACGCGACAACCAGGTTTATTGAGCTTCTATGTATGCACGTAAATCCAGGTCTCTTAATTCCATTCATTCTAGAACAGTAATTGCTGTACTGATATATTACGTGAATATACGATTTTGATGGATGAGCCAATTTAATGAACGGAAGAGGTACACCCGTCATCATCGAACATTAAACTGTAGATTGGATTCCCTTTTTAATTATAGTCTCTGTCCCTTTTTCCAATAAGGCACGTAACTCTATGATTATTGAACTTTTCACCCTAGTTAAAACTTTTTCAAACTTTTCGTCGCGCACGGGTGGTAGTTACAAAAGACGTTTCTACGAGCGAATGAGAACTTTAGGACTTAAATTCTTTTATTACGATACGAAAATGTTCCGATAGGAACTTTTAGTATCACCTTGTTTCGTTTTGCTGGTTACCTTGCAGGCAGAATCTATGGAAGGACTGCTGAGAATCTGTCGCAAAAATGACGAGACTATGGAATATCGAATTTTCGAGTTAACTAATCTGCTCGAAACTTTAGGACATTTTGATCTCAACGTGGCTTCTTTATGTCAATGTCTCTCAGACGGTAGGTCTATATACCATTATGACGTTATGGTGTTCTTAAACCACTCAATCGTTTCAGCATTGAAAAGCTTAACAGGACCCAGTGTCGTTCTTCGTGAGAAGATGGAGGTATTAAAAAGGTTGTCGTGGCAAGTTGATCGAAAAATTACCGAGAACTCATCCTTGGATACTATACGTACACAAAATCATATTTTGCGGGAAATCATAAAAAAGCTTAAGAGACAGGTACGTATCTCAATTCATTATCATTAAACATACCGACAGTTTTTATAAACCTAATTTTGGCTTTAAATCGGTCAAATGACTGGTCGATGGTACGTTTAGTATTAAGATTATATGATTAATATAACACTTAAATGAAAGCCGTACAAACACTATAATTTTATGTACTCTTAATTATAATACCTACTCAAATTCTAACAATACCTGAGGTATTATAATAGTACTTTGCGATACAAGTGCGAGAAAGCGAACTTTATAGGCAGGCGGTGAAGTTGGTCGCAGGAGCCGCACACGAGTAACAAAACGGCACGAGCCGAAGGCGAGTGCTGTTTGTTTTACGAGTGCGGCGGGTGTGACAAACTTCACAAAATGCGTATAATGTTCGCTTTATTGTACCAGTATCGCATAATATTTTCTGTAACGAATGCATGAAAAACGCTACTTTTTGTGCCTCCAAAGTGACTGGAACATCTCTTCGTTGGAGGAGGCAGCCATAAGAAGAGCAAGGAAGGCTTCCAAAGTGAATGCATTTCATGACAGCGCGCGAGAACAAAGTGTACTTTATCACACTAGTTGCGAGAAGAAAGCACTAGTGCGATAATGTAAAATTGGGCCGATTTGCGCATGCGCAGCATTTTTATCGTATCCATAGATATAAAGTGCCACTTTCGCCACACTTCGGAGGCACGAAAAGTAGTGTTTTTCATGCATGAGTTACATAAAATATTAAATGTCGTATCTACATATCCATGCTTGAATATTAAAACCATAGTATTAATTGTGTTTCTACAAAGTTGACTTTCACTCTGTAGAATTGTACTGTCGTATACAATAGAAAGTATATAAAATACTTGTATTTTGAAACGTGATAACGTATTCGATTCGTAATATAAATTTTTACTCAATTATTTCCACTGTACGTTATGGTTTGTATATATGTTTTACGCGTCTAAATTTGTAGCCAATAATAAAATCTAGTAGATAGTCTAATATTAACGTTGTCCATGTTTCCATTTATGAACTGTATATATTCATATTGAAGAACTCTAGATATAAGTAAACTCGTTATACGTTTTCATGGAATTTTTTATAGGCGAAGTTAGGTAAATATTTAAATAAATATATTAGACATAGTTTAGTATATCAAAGGTTATGTTTAAAATATTTGTGTTATTCTATTACCCAAAATTTCTAGGAAAAATAAGAACAATACATCAATTTCTGTTACCTCGGAAAGTTTTAAATTTGCACCAAGGTGCTGTTGAGTTTCCCAGTTTGTTTAATTGTTTCCTTGAGGATATTTAGGAATAAATGTACGAAGTTTGTTTCCTTGCAATAGAAGACTGTCTTCTGCAAGCCCGTCAAAATTATTTTATTTTGTATTTCAAACTTTTAGAGCCTTGTGGATTTACACGTGAAAGAGTTAAACATAGATTTTGTAGACCAAACATTTTATTTTCACTATCGTCAACTCATTGATTTAGAAAGCTTTCACCAAAACCCGAAGCCTTATCGAAGCATGCCTGAAAAAAATGGATCCTCGTTTTACAACTCGGACGAAAAAAAACAGGCCGTAAATCTTAGATTTTGTCATTCCCATCCACATCATAAGTTAAGGAGTTTCTCGATGTTCACAGTAACTTATTATTGATTTATGTTATCAGCACTAAATTCGAGAAATATCTTCCACTAAATTTCACGAAGTTATATTAGCTATTTTTTTTTACTGAATGATGTATTATCCTCATTAGGATTTCAAATATAACATACAGGGATTACTCTATGAAACGAATTATAAGTAAGAAAGAAAGATTAATATCGGTGTAATAAATATCACGGTTGTAATACGAGGAGCGAACGTTATACCTGATTAAAATTGATGTAAGCGATACTAATTATTATCCTAGATGTGTGGTGTACAAGCAGTTTTAGTAGACTATAATGCCTTATGAAAACGCATGCGATTTTCGTATATAGTATGTAAGCCGCATTTAGAAAAAAGTCTTTATACCTATGTTTATTAAATGAAAAATTACTTTAACGGTCCTGAAAATGTCAATTTTATGGATCATTAAAGTATTATAGACAATTGGTCATCGTCTTTCGTCCATTATAATCTTATAAAAACATTTAATGTTCTTCTCCCTGTTCATAAAGGTGCTTCTAATGTGTAAAGCATAGAACTTGTCGCAGGCGATACGTGCCAACGTGTATTGTAGAACGAATCAATACAGTAGTCCGTTAAGCGCAGTGTATCTGCACATATGCGCGCATAGCGGCATGTACTTTTGCGAAATTAGAAGTTCACACGATTTGCATATAAATTATTTGATAAAGAACATGGCACATAAATGGTATATTGTAATGCTTAAGTTGTATTTAGAAGGATAATGATTCATAACATTGCATGAAACAAATCATATCCTATGTATGTTAAAGGTCGATGCTATTATGATTATTTTATAATTAAGAAAAGACTCGTAAACTTTATACCTTCTAGTTTCGTTAGTCTTCTATTTAACTTATTCACTAGTTTTATGAATCAACCTTTCATATATTAAAATGCTTTTTCTTACTTGATTGTAGCTGTGCGCTGCAAATATTCCAAGAGACTTTCAGAGGGAAGAAGCTGAAAGAGAATTCAACATGCCGGAAAGTTTTATTAGAAAAATAAACGAGAAGCACAATGTAGACCTTAAGCCTGCCAAAGATATGAATCATGACTTGAATACGGGATTCGCACCCGAAACACAGAATTCGAAAAGAATTTTAGTTACAAAATTTGAAGAGCAAATGGAAATGAAAAATACAGAAATCGTAAAGTTAGATTGTTCTGATAAAGATCAGAGATCAAATAATTTACATCAGAACGAGGTTGAAAGTACTGAGAGCGACCCTCTGTTTAAGAAAAACGACAAATCGGAATGTTTCGGCATCGAGTTAATAAACTCCCACTTAAACGGATTTCAATTTAAAGAATACTTAATACGTCTTTCGAAAAATCATGAAATAAGAATCAAGCATTGCCTAACTCAACTTGCAGAATTCGATCCAATTAAAGTGGAATTCGTTGAAAGTGAAGAGGAATATCAGGAAGCTTCACTCGACAGAATGATTATTTATGTAAGAAATATTGAGCAAATTGTACGCGTTAAAACAAACGGAATCAATTGTGCAACTCAAACAACTAGAATCAAAATCTCGCATCATTCTACTCAAACTCCAATCACGGGATTGAGCAATCTTTCACGCGTAAATGTTGGTTTCTTTGTAAGTATATAAAATTTCAATCTCAGTGTTCCAATTTTTATGTAAAATTTAAATGTACTTTTCATAAACAGATGCTAAACTCCGAAAGACGTGCCATTGAACGCTGTCTCTGCAATTTAGAAACCGCTGTGAGCGAAATGCAACTGAATGTGGTTGACCAGGCACGTTTATTAATTGATAAGTAATGCATATTCCTCAATAATGAAAAGTGCCTTAAATACACTCATTTATCGTGCGACTGGATTAACTTCTTCTATCGTGAAAGTTAAAAAAATATTATTTGTCAACTTATAACAAATGAAATACTATACAAAAGAAAGTGTTTTGCTTTACTTGAAGAAAACATTACAATGTTGCTGTGAGGTAAAAAAAGTGCTTGCGATTATGGAAAGGTATTACTCATTATTGTTGTTCATTGTTAGAAACATTATCTCGTTATCTAATTAATCTTACATAATATTTTCACACGTATGCGTGTACATACATGTATGCATACATACACACATACATGCATACAACATATATACACATATACAAGTTATACATAATCGTATATATTAATCGTACTTAATCTCGCAGTAATAATCGCCAGTGCTATACAGATAGATATTAATGTACACTTGTGAAACGCACTAGTTTGTACCTGCTACGAATTTTTACGTGAAAACTTGAAAAAAGATCATTTGCAAAGCGAACGTCGAAAGTCCAAATAAGACTATCGTGCTCTGTGGAATCGAATGTAAAAATTGGTAACATCGCGCCAATTCCCTAAGTGACAAGTCAGTGGAATATTCTTATAATGGATGTGCAAATGCTTCACGTATACGACTCGCGGTTCATGCATGCAAGCGTACGCGCATAACATAATATATACGGAATACTTTTTTCATATTTGCAATAAAAGCATGGATGTTCAGGAAATTATGTAACAATTTTTTATCTCACCAACTCCTCCCGTTACTTTCTCAATTTACTTAACACACTGAATTATATTAAATATATAAATGATTTTCAAATGGAATCAAAGTACTTCATTTATCGAAAATAACATGCGGTTTAATAAATCCAGAATAAATTATGTTTTCGCTTAGGTTCTCTAGATTTCGTCAGAACTGAGTATTCACTCTGTGCACAATAAATAATCTTGTATCTTATATCATCTATAGTAATTGTATGCTTCCTTCGCACGTGATTTTCTCTTACGTACCTCAAACACCACAGAAAATACTCACTGACAGGCTTCCGCGAAAGCAAAGAAGTAAGAATGAACGAAAAAATTCGATAATGAACAAGGACAGCTCTTCATTTAGATAATATTTCATACAATATCCAATTTTCTTTGAAGAAAATTAAAAAATTTAGAAAAATAATAAAATTATATTTTTTAAAATGTCAAAAGTGTAAAAGGAATGTTGGGTTATGACAGTTCATGCAATTGGCCTGCTTCATTCTTCCATTTTCCTTCTTGATTTCAGCTATTTTTTGTAAATGTCCAAACGTCAAACATTACATACCGGCATATGTATGTGTCTGCATTTTTTAAATATCCCTTTAACTTCAATTGGAGATGGCTCGTAGAACCGTCGCGAACATACTAAAGGGAAAATCGGACTCTGCTTAGTTAGAATTTATCTCTTTTGCTTTTTATGCCTATGTGAGAATGTTCGATTGTGGTCGATACAGGGGGCCTGGCACTAGGAGCTTGCATTTCTAGTTATGCTTTGGACGACACGTTGTCCCCACCATGCTTCCAAATTGAATGGTTCAAAATCTGCGGCATAAAGGCATTGAGTGTTTAAAATGTCATATTAAATAATGCAATATGCATTGGTTCCCTTAACAAATAAAAAATAGTTAAAATTATATTATCCATGAAATTTCTGCATATACAAATGATTATTAATTACTTTAAGGTTATCTCGATTGATATGACTTATCAATTATTATCTAAAAAAAGTTCAATGCTTCTTGAAAATTTTATCTCCATGAGACAAACGCATGTTATCGATTGATATCCTGATAGGAATAATTACGAAAATTAATGGTACCTTTAAGTTGTGGATTTGGCTCACGTTCTTGATAGTATGTGACCGATGCTCCATTTCTATAATTTGAGGAGTTACCATGCTGTTGATTGTGACACATATCCAACTCTCTGGACACAGAATTCCAAGCTATAATTAGATGAAAACTGCTAATTAAATTCCATTGTTTGTAGTCTAGAATAATCAGTAAACGCGTATAATCTTACATTCGCAAATGTACTTAATCAAATCAAAATGTTGGGCTGATGATTCAGGCTGAAGTCTAGCAGGAATGGAGGATGGCCTCTTTCCATTCATCGCCGTCATTTGTGATCTCCCACTATAAAAATCATAATATGTATTCATTAATCAAGAAAAAAATAAGATTAGAATGCATTGAAATAATTTCATCATCCTTGTGAACACAATTATATTAAATTGTTAAAAAAGTTCTAATAAAATAGGAAGAATTTTAAGACACGTGGAACACAGACTTACAAAAAGATATCAACATAAAAACAATAGAGAAATGAATGTTACCTACATATTGCAAGATAAAGTCTTTTAGGATCACTTTTCGAACAGGAACAGTTGATCGAATTAACTAAAATTTCTAATTCTTGGTATAGTGATATATATTTAATGTTTTCAAGATTTCTGAAAGACACATTTAAAACTCGATAAAATTTTATACGAAGATCCAAAGGAAACCTTTCAAGCTAAACGCCATTCTGACAAGAAACGTCAGTGATAAAAATGGCGGCGGTTTCGACGTGACATTTCAGCGAGGGAATTCATTTCATATGATTTTCTATGTATTTCATCGTCTTAGTCATGCAGAACATTAAAAAAATCGTAATAAGTAGAATTAAAGTTATATTGCTCTATAACTGTCAGCGATCTTTTTACAGTCTCTAAGAGATGAATGAAAAGTATGATTTGATACCTCATTTTTCTATTTTCACACTTTCTTCCAATGATTCTCGGCTACCCTTCACAGATCTCCAGATGGAAGTTGTTTCTGGCCACTACAACTTTATGTACACGCACTTTAACCAAAATTAATTGGATAAGGCGTTTACTTAACACAACCGCAGGCCACCTCTTCTGAAGTAAAGCTTGTCAACAATCACTGAATCACACTGAATGCTGGGAAGACTTATTTGAGAGTCAGGCAGCTCGGCTATTCGTTTGATGATACTGCCACCTGCAGACGTTTCAAGGTAGCGCCACTTGATATCATTTGTTACGTCCTTCTGGTTACCTTGAAGTCCCTCGCTGATTGGCCGTTCAGGACCGTGAGTTTCGTCAGGGATTCGCTGCTGTATTGGCTATAGAAATAGAGCGCAAGGGGACCGGGAAGTTTGAAATTATATAAACACGAGAATATTCTCTTTTACCTATTTCAACTCTTTAATGATACGCGAAAAAATGAATTAATTCAACAAAGGAGTTAACTTATACTGGATTAGAATAAAGTTTATATTACACTAATGTGCGGACAAGAAAAAGACTGACTGTGCACGTATTGGATGATAAAACAAACTAAAGCAGTGCCGTGAGTATACAAGTTCATTCTTTTGAAGCTAAGTCAGCACTGCCTAAAGGGGAAGGGTCTTGAAGCGTCGTGAGTCGTTTTCTTGTCGCGGGTAATTTTTTGGGGAGAAAGGTGAAAGCGTGGAAAAATTTCTTGAGAGATTCCTGCGGAAAAGACAAGTCAGCGGAAGGGCCCACTTGATTGCCAAATGTGGTTGACAAAAACAGGCCCCGCTAGTTCCTGCTAACCAGCGCACGAGCATGTACTCTGGGTCAGCATGACCCTTGAGTCTTATTGCGAAGGACCTCCAAAAGTATTTCCTTTATTTATGGCTGCTTACAAAGAGAAGGGTCTTTAGTACAAAAGGAGAAGATATACAAAGTATTAGGATGCTGATGTATAAGGGAACTAGGGTCTGTATATTACTGTGGCTGTATATTACTTCGAATATTAAGGGTTACTACTAATTGCGCCTTGAATTTCGCGGTATCAAATCAGGAAACAAGGAGCTCTAACATACCGAGCAACTGTGAGGCAATAGTGACGGCGCTCATTCGAACTGAGTTCGTCACACATTTACAAATAATTTAAATACTATTTAGAAATATATAAGTATCACGTTTACTTACAGAGCAGCAATAGTTATTTAAATTATTAAATGAGGATAAATAATATTCATATTAGATTGTAGTTGCAGGATTTATAATTTAAAAAATAATAAAGATAATCATACATACATTATATATTTACACTATGCTCTGGTTTTCGCATATTATTTTTTATTTACTTTAAATTACATATTTATGCGCTAGACTCTGTCACACGAAGGTGCTAAATTTTTACAAAAATACGTCTCGTGCTCAGAATATATAAAGTATTTTTAAGAATGGACTAAAAAATCGGATTATACAACTTAATAAACTCATTGCCGTGGAACTAATTGATAATGAATATAACATTAATTTTTTCTGCTCAGTATATTCTAAAACAATGAAGATTTTTAATAATACAATTTCAAAAGCGACCAAATATACATCATGCGAGAAATAATTTATGAAAGTCTTTTAAGCGATGTTTATAAGATTGATGTTTAAGATAGATTAAGTTGATGTATGTATGTATGTACACAGCAAGTATAATACGGCAGGGAATAAATGTACATGATTTTGATCATTCGTATAAGATAAATTACAATTATATTATATTATTGGGATACTTTGTGTGATTTGAAGTTATTCCGTCATAAGTCATAACTATCTTATATTAATTATAATTGGCACAATAAATATGATGATCAACATACGATACAGCTTAGTGTATAGAATTTGTAACAGTTGCATAGTAATTGCCTAAATGCTTTAGTGCCTTTTAGTCAAAGTTACATAAATGCGATAAAAGCATTTACTGTCAGAATCTGCAAAGTTCCAAATTTTGAACTAATCGTAGATATAGTACTGTCCTTTTGCACATACGAGCTGTGTTTAACCAATAGGACTTGGTTCCTATGACGATTTGCAGACAGATGAAAAGATACATGCTGATAAATATATTTTTAACACATGTTGGATGCGTATATGCATACATTGGGAGTTATTCAAAGTAAAATAAAACTAAGGATTATCATCTGTCGGACATTAATGTCGTGTGGTTTATTGATTTGTATTCGAAATCACATTTGACTTCAATAAATTTACATGCTAGTGCTAAGATATGTTATTACGTCGCTATATACAGGGTGTCCCACGACTTATTCCCCAACGGGCACTGGCATATTCTCCGTTGAAAATAGAACAAAATGCAATTTGTCCGAATGAAATCGGTTGCAGCGTTCTCGAGAAAATATACATATTCAAAATTTAGAAATATCATCATTTTAAGTAAGTTCCAATCATCACCAAAAGAAAACAATAGCAGTAGAAAAGGAAAGTGGCGGGCATTTGCTTCTGTGAACACATTAACTCAAGTAGAAACTGTAATATTATCATTAGACTATGAATTATCGAACATGAGACATGGTGATATTTCTAAAATTTTTAATATTTATTTTTTCGAGAACGCTGCAACCGATGTCATTCGGACAAATTGCATTTTGTTCTATTTTCAACGGAGAATATGCCAGTGCCCGTTGGGGAATAAGTCGTGAGACACCCTGTATAATTATAATTACAAACGATTCATTTTTAAATAAAATTATAAAATACGCCAAGTTTTCTGCATAGTTTTCTGCACGTATAACAGGGTGATGTAAAATAAGTAAATAAATAAAATAAAATGTAAAAGAGGGTTGCAATAATTTTTTCTCGTAATAGATGAAATGTCATCTTTTTAAATACAAGTGAATTTTATAATAAGTTTAAAATGAAGTTTCAAACAATTAAATAAATCTTAATATTGTCGAAGAATTGATACTACGTAATATGATATGTATAACAATGGAGATATTGATTGGAGATTCGAATATATAAAACCATAAATGAAATAAGTTAACGATATTTTGTTTTTTAATTATAATATAAATTAATATTTGCAGTGCTTTGTATAAATAATTTTTTTTTTGTATATGAAGCTCCCATTAAGTAATGGTCAGCACTCTGGACTTTGAATTCAACGATCCGAGTTCAAATCTCGATGAGACCTAATTTTTTTTTTGAACTCGCTTATGGTCGATCATCTTATCCAAGATGCTAAATACATTATTTTACTTTTCTATTATATGAGTAAAATAGAAACTTATACTATCGTGCATATACTTCAATTTTCATACAGTGAAAGATCGCATGAGTAGCATTTCTCGAAAAGCATATAAACAGAATGAAAATAATTCTTCTGGTACATTTACTTTTTCTGGAAATCTAAAATTATCTTTGCTTTTGCAATATTATCTAAAAAATTCAAACACAAACGTATTTTCCTTATGTTGACAATAAAAGTAACTACTACACCCACATAGAAATATATATCTATGAAATTAGATTAAATCTATTAAATTAAGCTATACACGTCATATATATTTTAGAGTTATTATATTTAGAATTTGCTATATGAGCAAGTATATGTATATGAAGTACATGCATGTATGAATGTAATGCATAAAATGGATTAAAGTATAAACATAATAAAATTGTTTTATAAATAACACATGATACATGAAACAACTAATGTTGTGGTAAATGAAACAATTGCTACGCATCTATGATCAATTAATCTTGTAGCACGTAACTTCTTATGTACACATGAATTCAATTTCCTCCTATAATAAAATATTGAACATGTTTAATCAGTTTACTGCAACAAGTTCTATTTTCATTGAGTTTCTTCAATCATTCTGGAATAAGTATGAATATTTATAAGTTTTTGCCTTTGTCACCGACTGAGCAGAATGTTAAAAATATATCTATGTGTACCATACAGCCCAAAATGTTCAGATATGTTGAATAGACGTTAAAAATAATGTAAAATAGAAATGGATTTTTATACGGTGTATGGATATTCTTGACGACACTTCGCGAAATTTTTGATAGAAACGCGTGAGAGCAAATATATCAATTAGTATATCCAATTTCATTTTTATAAATTTAAGTACGTATAGTCTACATACATACATATATGGAGATCTTGTTGGACGGATCGCATTCTTATAATATCAGTGTTTGACAATCAAGATTATGTTTCAATAGAGATGCAATAAAAATATTTGGAATATCGTCTCGGGGATCATTATATCGAGAGATTCTAAGTGTTCGCTTGGATTTCAAGTAGAGATATCAACAATAACAACAGCAATAGCCTTTGGGTATAAAGAAAGGATAAATCAATTCTTTATTCTTATGTACTTGCGAGATTCGTGTTTGGTTAATAGAAATCCGTGTAGTTTTCCTGGGAAGACAAATCATCGCGTTACTAAATCTTCATTAACATTGTTCAATTTAACTAATTATGTTTGTGTAAGTGCGACTTCTTTGTTTATGGAACATGATTGTCAATGTTGATATCTATGTTACATGATGTTTTTGCGTATAACGGATGAAAATTATTTAAAGATTCTTTATCACTACAGTAATTGTTGCTTAGAATCCTAGTTCTATTCGCATCCTATATAGTTATTGCGATCCCTACTTATAATTATATCTACTTATATCCCTCAGTCGGCCGTGTATCAATCATCTCTATTATTAATAATTGAGTTCAGCTCTTAAGATATTTCATGGTATTATTACTGTACGGTTTTTCGTAATCAAATTTAGAATATTCGAGTGCTTTCGATCCACGCAGCAAAAGCACCCTAAAAGTGTCTTTCGAACGTTCTGTGGAGGATTTGTGAATTTTTTAAGCACATAAAATAAATAATGAAAAAATTTCTCAAATTTATATATTTATTGTTTTGCGGTTTGCAACATTTTTTTTTCTATCGATCTCACTTTCATACATTTCGTCAAGAGAGTAACTATGGTAAGAACGGCACCGGAAAATGAAATTACTCCAAGAACCACAAGAACCATGAACCAACTTTTAAATGCCCCAATTCTATTGGAAATATCACAATTACAATTTTCGTGATCGGTTAAATTAAGCGCGGAAAAGTTCACAGGCCTTAATGAAATAACCTTAGGATCATTAAAAAGAGCCGACTTCTTTCTAGTACCAGTTTGTAATTTCTTCATGAATTTATACGAAATTGTATAAGTGAACTCCTGACCGCTGAACGAGCCTTTTGCACTGTAATATTGAATAAGAAGGGAATTTCCAATTGAGGTAACTGGAACTTGAATGTTGTTAATGTCAGAATGAGAAATATCACAGTAGGACCACATTAAGCTGTCATTAGAATTTAGACCACTGTAAATAGCAATCTCATTTCCGGAGCAATACTTCAGACTTACATTTTTTCTATGGTCAATTTCTAAGTCATCATTTAATTCATTCCTTACGATTTTCAATTGAATAAAAACCTTTTCCGAAGTCTTTCCGAGGAACCTATAGCTGCATAAAGTATTTGGTGGATACCAACTTTGAAGAGATTTCACATTGTCCCTTGGACGATCAAAGCTTCTGTAAAAAAACTCACAGCTCTTTTTGTAATTCACTTCCGCAGGTTCCGTCTCTTGCAAGGTCAATTGGAAACCATCATGCATGATCGTGCCGTCCCGCTCGGTAAAAAACTCAATAATAACATTTCCACCGCGAGATACTATATGAGGAAAATGACCTTCTCCACAAAACTTTGAAATTTCAAAAATTTTGCCATTTACATTTTCGTGCAAAGCAAGGTAATCTCCGATGCAGGCAGGCATCTCCAATTTTTCATGCATGTTATGTCTGCGTAGAAATCTCTGTTCGAACAAAGGATTCATTCTTTCATGATTGAGGCCTTTGTGTGCCCTTTCCATCCCATTTTTCAACCTGACGCTATCTTCACTCCTGTCATCGAGGTAGGTATTCAGAGCTCTTGAGTTACCTTCACTTTGAAAACTTAATTTTTCATAAGTATCCTCATTATCAAAAATGTTTTCATCAAGAAACTTCATTGTCGTACTTTCATGATGATTATCAGAATCCTTATGGCGTTGAGAGTGTATCGAATGGCGAACATCACCGGATTGAATTTGAGACATTCCATTACTATTAAAACGATCAAATTCCAAATCGCCTCCCCGCCAATTGGAATTATCAGCGTCACTTGTTCTCTTGTGTCCCATTCGCTTGGACTGTGTTCTGCCATAAGATTTACGCATTTTTAATTCGGACAATTTCTTTCTATGTCGTATACCCTTTACATTCTTTTTATGATTTCTAATTCTTAATGGCCGTTGTACTTGCCTAACATCCTGTCCAATAATAATCTCATCTTCCTCGTCTTGATCAAGGCTCTTTAAACTTCTAATAAGTCTTGGTTCTTCTTTATTTGATAAAATAGATTTGTGAGCCGAATTGACTTCGACGTGTTGTTCACAATTTTCGGTATGGCAACCGTCCTGGGACGTGTAATTCATCAAGTTAAATGAATCTTCTAAAACGCCGCCAATCTTGAACCTTCCTGTAACGGACTCCAGCGACATTCTGCAGGTGATACCGCGAGGATAGACTCCTGGGTAACCTGGAGACACAAGTTTGCACGTTCTTCGGTCATTTCTGCTAGAGCAGTTGAGTAGACACTCGTCTGACGATGGAGGCGGCCCATGATGCCTGTCTAATGCAAGACGTGTTGGTAAAATGGAAAATTGAGCAGAAAATATAACCGGATTCGCTGCAGCGAACTTCACCTCTGAATCCATTACGATAGCCAACTCTGGTCCTCGTCTTAAAAAAAGCCTGGAATGGAGATATAAATTAGATTCGTAAATTTATTTAAGGATTAATGATGCACACGTCTAATAACATGTAGTAAAAAGATACCGATATCATAGGAATATATATATTGTATATGTTTACATATATAACATTCATATAGATCATCGTGTATGTAACATAGTTTATGTCTATAAAAATTTACAAGCTAAAATAATTTTTTTCCGTGTATCAACATTTTTTGCACTATTTTATTGTATATTGTGTTGTTTGTACCATTTATATGTGTATTCTATATGGTGTATCCCATTTGGAATTCGTATTATCGGGCCTATCCCTATCAATTAAAACGATATCAGCTACTGACAATATATAACTACAGCTGTTTTTATACCTTGTTGAATTAGTAGTGACATGTCCACAGTATCGTCCTAGATCGCTACTTCGATCTTCTACGCTGTCAGATAACTGAATATAGGCACCCTCACACCTTGCGTTTTTCAGTACACCCACTTGTAGTCTCCGGATTCTCAGCTCAATAACCTAAAATAGGAAATTAAACATCATATTATTGGCAATATAGTACTTATATACATAAGTAACCATACATTACTAAGACGGAATGAATCAGCACTGTATATTTAACATTTCGTTAATGTCCCTGCCTATACCCGGGTACAAATTTTAGATAAGGGACGGCTCTCTGATTTATCATTTTACACGGTCCATAAAAGATCCCACATAAGAATCCACTTTTAGTAGTAATAGTATGGTAGCTCTTTTATTTCTTTCTTTGAAACATGGTTGCACACGTTGCTGAGAACCAGGAATTGGAAATTGAAAAGGCATTTGTAGCGTAAAAGTTATATGATAAACGGCTACAAATTAAACGTATAAATTGTTATTTATAAATTAATTAATAAATTGTTATTCGTTATATTACTTACAATGACTAAAATAATGTATTTTATATTAGTTATTTCTAGTCTCACTCTCACATTAAGGTTATACAAGCAAAACTTGGATATTCTATGATTAATCATACTATAGAAACGTGGTAGAAATACGATATTCTAATTATAATTATTAATTACAAATCTATTAATCCATAAAGAACTCTCACCTGAAGATCCCCGAGAGGTGCTCGAATTCTTACAACACATTTCCCCATTCGTCCTGTCCACCTTATCCATCCAACAGAATTTCTGATCGTGCGATTGCATCCTGAAAAGAGAGAAAAGTTTCCATAACAATTTCACACAGGGATTATACTATAACTAACGTTTCAGTTGACCTTTTTGAAAATCAAGGGTCTTCATGATTTATTCACCTTTAATCTACGGCATTATGCCGGATTAGTCACTTGGCACGTTTTGCTCATGCTAGTTAGTGTCCTGCATACCCCGCTAATCCGACAATTTCGCGGTCTATATCACCCTGTCTCCCAAAAGGGACTGACTCTTACCCATAAAGCTACCCCGCATTTATTCTGATAAATTGCCGTAAGAGATTTTGTTAAATGTTTACTAGTAATAATCCCCATACGTCCCTTCCTACCCATGACCAGGGTTTGGCTTGTTTTGCTGGTCTGTGCTGTGTAACATTGCAAGACTTTTTTGCAATCAAAATAATTTTCTCCACATGATCGAGAGATGATCTAAATCTAATTTTGTCTATTGTCTTTTGGCACATTGTTATACGTTATTATAACAAATAACAGGAATTTTTTTAATATTTAACAGGATTCTTTGAGTTTGAAAAAAAATCACAGTTATTCTTTACATTGAGAGACTTATTATTAGGTCTAACAATAGTCTAATTAATAACTAACTAATAATCTTATTAGTTGTATATCTAATTATTAAGTAATAGTCTTACATTAGAATTGATGATGTTAAAAATCGGAATAATTTCAAATTCCTGTTAGGTGATGATATAAAAGTTTCAGATTAAAATGGGAAATATTAAATAATTACTTACAGTTGAAAATTGCAAAATAAATATTTTGGCACGAGGCGAGTGATATAGTGCAAGCCACAGTCTGATAAAAATTCGCTTGCTATTCAAGAAGCAAGCATATTTGCTCATTGACGAATTACTTGCTAATGTAATTTCACAGTATCTGGGAAATTTTCCAGATTTACTGAACAAACAACTGGCAATGATACAATCAATTCCATTGAATTAAACTTCCATTCTGAAGTATCTTCTGACGGATTTTTTAAGGAATCTTAATTAGTTCCTGCTATATATTTGACTCTCGTAATATTTTTCTATACTTAATTAGAAGCTATAGATTTGGAAGTAAGTAAGTAATAGTTTCAATATTACCTATTTCAAAGTTAAACTGGAAAATCGGCATGTTTGAGTAAAAAAATTTCTCTACGTATAGCAGAGTAAATGTAAGTATAATGTGGCATTAAGTTCTTTTCATTGCGTATAGTAACTTTATATGTATATTCAGTTGCTCTAGAGATAGGGATTCTCACAAAGTTTCACTTTACACGAACTTTTTAGTGGTTCGTTTGTACGAAGGATTCTTCATAACTCTATCAACTCTTCACGGGAAAAGCTTTACTAGGACAATTAATGTAGATACAGTATTTTACGAGGATTTCGTCGGCTGCTTTTAAACTTATGTATGTAAAGTATATATTTGCCACATGGCCTGCATATCCCCCACAGATAATTACATCTGTATTTATGGTATCCGCATGGGACACTACAGGCTAAGGCGTTGACATAATCCATTGCTCACTTGCTGGTTGAAAGGGGACAGAAAGATAACGGTGAATATTTACCAACGAGATAATTACAATTACAGACTGCTGTCTTATTTTACTTTTCAATTTTAACATCTTCTTGTAGAAGGCAATTTTTGCGTTTAACTTACTTTTAGTGTACGCGATAAACACGAAAATGAATGAACCAATTTTAATGACATCGGTACCAACACAACCATTGGGATCTTCAGATGGTTTGAGCGAAAACAAATGATGAATGCAGGTTGTTCAGAAGATAGAGAGAAATAATTGTTGATCTATATAAACCCATACCGAGCAACGTCGTAGGCACCGCAAGAAACCGTAGGTGATTTTTTTAATCAGCTTGTATCGTAGACAACTCGTGTGTTCACTATAGATATTTATTATGTGTAGACCCTACGATTGCAAATTTTGTTATATGCCATGAAAATGATAAGTCATATAATACGTAATATATAATTATAATATAATATTTGTAGATTCCAGTGAGATTTCGAATAAATCATATCAATACTACATACATTCACTTTACATAATATCATGCTTGACAGAATACATATCCATTAATACTTATTAGGCATGTCAATTTGGCTATCAACGTCCCAATACATCAACAATTAAGAAGGTAGAAACTGTCGATACTCGTACAACCAGTTTGTATCCTGAATGGGAGGCCAAGTTAAAATTATAATAAATTCATAGCGTATGATAAATATTTATTGAAAAAAAAAAAAAACGGAGATTATTCTTCTTGTTAGTATAATGGAAATGATTTTCAATATTGTGCATCGGACTAAATGAATCAAGCATTGCATATCAGACACATATTATTGATATTGAAATGAAGTCTACAAAACGTGTTAACATCTGCAAACATGTTTGACTACAATATTGACCATTATGCAATGATATACAAAATCTTATTCGCCAGCAGCAATTTAAGAATTTAAGACCGGATTGTAATTTATCGTGCCTTTTCTCCTTTGCGAGAGCAACCAGCCAGCCACCGTCCAACGATTGGTTTCGCTAGATCGAAGTTTTCGTGGAAGGAGTTGGAAGGAGTTAAGTCAGGAAGGTTTTTCAGTGAAACGGGCTGCTAATGGACTTTTCGTTTCGAGTCGAAGAACTTTCGGCTCCGCCATGTGGCACGGTTGTCCCGCGCAAGATCTTAAATGCCGATAGCACGATAGAAGACCTCGTAAAATCGATCACGCCACATTAAAAACTGCCTTCCGTTAGTTTATTATAAAATCAGAGCCGTGTTTGTGGTGAGTCTTTCTAAGGAAGTTACGAGAAGTAGATTAGATAAACGAATTGACACTACACGGAATGCAATTAACAGGACTTAATTAGAATTTTATGATCTTACCGATCGGATAGATCATATGGAATTAAGTTTCCTATAAAATTCAAGCGAATCGTCTTTCGATGAATGCGTGCTCAATGTTTTATTGGGTATCGGATTAATCCCACAATTCTTTGAGAATAGGTTTTAACAATCTCGAATTTCTATGCTGTAATTGGAATTTATCATCTATAATCGATTCTAAATGTTATGTAACCATTACTTTTTCACTGCGCTGAAAGGGCCGTAATTTCATTATTTCCTTCAAATCGCACGTTGATGTGAATTGTTGTGAAATAGCGAATTCAGCTGGCATCATTTCTGGTTTATAGATAAATTAAAAACGAACTGATTTTGTCGCGATATTATGAGATACTTATATGATTAGAATAATACAAATTTTCTCTATCTTATAGTCATTTGGACATAATAATTCTAAATAAGGAATATTTTTGCGAAAAACAGCTATATCATCTGTGTGAAATGATCAACGCACAAGATCATGCACAATTACACATGATCATATTAATGTAGGTGTGTTTATTTCTATTCTATTGGATTACTGGCAAACGAAGTCCCTATGGAATTTCTGGTTATCGTTGCGAAAAGAAGTATGGCTGCCGGTAGCATGGCATTTATTATTTCTGAATATTCAATACGAAAGTCGTGAAATAAAATTTGAAGTTTTAAACACTTCTTATCTATTAATTGTCTATCCAAAAGTTCAATTTCATTAATCATACATATTCTTCATACACAACGATTGCTTAATCAAGAAAATAAGACAAATATTATATCGTCATTATTATGCGTTTATTTTCAACATGCTGTTTGCACGATACTTTTCTGCTATACTTTATTAGTAATTTTCACTCACATTCACTTTATTTTTAGAAAATGCATATAATCACTGGCCACTTTTAGCAAATAAAAAGTATCTTTCTCTCGTCTAGCAGAGCGTGGTTTCGATCCACGGACCTCTGGGTTATGGGCCCAGCACGCTTCCACTGCGCCACTCTGCTTCAGTGATATAAAAAAATAATATGAGTTAATAATAGATAATAAAAAAGAATATTCAAATAATAAGACTTACATGTACTCTATTTATTTATCGCGCCATAGAATGTTTATAGAGTACTTGTTAATTATGAAATTCTAAAGTATCACGTCACAACAACAAAAATTAATAAAGAAAGAATTTATGCAAAAGGATAAGTATATTTTAAAAAAACATGAAATCAGACTCTATGCATGGTGCAGTGGAAAAGTGGTGATAAAGTTGGCTCGCAACGTATATTTTACCCATAGAAATCTTATCAACATGTTTGAATGTACGTATTATAATCATATACATATTTTGCATAACTGGTCCTGCTAGTAATTCGTCGTATAATCGCATGTATCACCTCATTTTCAGTATATTAGTAACATTTAATATCACTAGTAATTGCATTTCGCTTGATATTGACGTGGTACGTGCTTAATTATATTGTCGTCTAGTCATGCATAATGTTATTATGTTTGTACATTATACTCTAGTTTAATGAATCCCGGTATAATTATCCTTGCATCCAAACATCTATGGATCACTATTCGATGACAGTATCAGGTATACTGAACAATATAGTATATGTAAGTTCGGAATAAGCAAAAGCAGCTGAAGGCGGTTATCAGATAAAAAGCTTAAATAATCATGTATTAAAATTTCTGATAATTCCAACTGAGCAATCATGAAGTTGATTTTGATTCCTTATACAGGGTAAATCAAAATGCGTAGCACAACCAGGAATGGTCTAGTTTCTCAAAAAAAGTCAGTTGGAACGACTGAATTAAATTTTTTCACATAATGTGTCACTTTCGAGCAAATAGTCAGTTTATCTGCATAGATGCACTGTGATCAAACAGCGTGAAGTAAAATTCTTGTTAAAAGTACCTATGGTTTCATGTACAATGTTACATGCATTTATGGGCAGCATCAATTAAATTGAAATACTTCTTTAGAATATTGTTTTTAATTAGTTATAATTGACAAATTAAAAATACGCTCCTAAAATGTATTAGCAAGAGAAAAATTCATTTAGAGAAAAGGTTAATTAATATGTTGGTTTAAAAAGATCAAATTAGTATAGCTTTAGTTTGAATATCGGTATACTTATCATTTTTATTTTGACTCTCAGTTATATCAAACTTTTGAAATGATATTTTTACTGAAATCTATAAAATTATTATGGATTTAAATATTACGATGTTGGAAATGTGTTGTTCAGTCGTAAATGCAAATGTATTCATCAAATATGTAACAATGAGACAATGTTTTTTATGCATTTCGGTTATTAAATTATTCGACAGACGTTTATAGAACATTATCACACGATATCGAATTATCGATATTTCAACTTACGTTTGCGGAACCATAAGGATATAAATTCGAGTTCGAGAGGTCATTATTACAAAAAAACCACTCCTTCGTTCACAGAGGTCCTACGTCCACGTGATACTTTGACAGCTATCTCGTTATCACGTAATCTTGTGTGTAGTTAAAGTAACTTAGATGAATCCCGTACACACAGTATACGCACATATAATCAAATGTATGTCCATACAATAGAAATAAAACTTAATCCTTAGAAAATTTAAAACCAAATAATATACCCAACTTGAAAATAGTCCGTTTTAATTGGCTTTATCGCCAAATAGTAATGAAAGCTATAAATCAGCTTGAATCTCCAATCGTACCTGGACTGAATCGAACGAAATTGGAACCTTTCGTAATCTGCGATCTTTGGAAATTTCGCGACTTACGATCGGACATGAATGATTGCGCCAAAAGCGGAAAACGACGATAACCCACAACTTCCTGAGATCAGATGGAACTGGAATATGTAACTTTAGACTTTCAAAGATTGGAAAGGGGACACTAATTTACCAATTCCAAGTCACAATCCACTAATGAATGCAGTAGATACATAACCTATGGATTTAGAACTTCATGCAGTATTAGTTTTAGTTACTTCCTATTAGACGTGTCGAATAATCGTAATTTTTTTTGTTGAAAATTTATATTTATTTTGACGTTGCAAAATTTGCCGTCACATTTCTAGGGTTAGCTCTCGCGTTTTTAGGCGTGACGCATTACCGCCACGCACTCTAAACACCATCACGGCAACACATTCCATGGGTCCTAACATAAATTCGTATATTTTGTTAAACTAACTCTTTTCGTATCTTAACTTCTCTTATAACGCGACATTGCGGACGGAGCGGAGAGCAGACAGAACACCCAGCAAACACCAGGCACCGCCGAACAGACGCCATGAGGGAACGTGGACGATCGCCGGGAAAGAATCCCGGGTCCAGCCATACCGAGACGACTGCGACTAGTGGAGGACGCGCCTTCGCACCCGTAAAGCCAAGGCAGCGAGGAGGATGATCCCGTGGACCCTACCGAAGGGACAGCCAGGAGGCTGTCTTAATATTACGATCCAGGGAAGAAGAGTTACCGTCGAGAACCGGTCCCGTAGATGGGGAAACGTGCACCTCGATGGAGTAACAGCATCCGCATCTTGAGGCAGAGCCAAGGAACCTCGTCGGGGATAATCGCTATCGTCTAATATAGTATCGATAATGTAATGTTAATTATCTGCTAACGTTATATTTGCCATATCGTCCTATCGTGATGTAAGGGGACTCCTAACCAAGTTTAAATTATGGCGCGCGAATAAGTTCGGCAGAGGGCCCAACGCGTTAGAATAAGGGTGGGGATGTCACCACCTACCGAGCGTACGCGAGCCTATAGATCGCTCTCTGGCTGGTTGTCCGTGGTGGTGAATAGACGTCCTAGAAATTGGGTTAATACCATTGAGTTCTAAGGTTCGATTAACGTGAAATTTTCCTAGCAATCTTGCCGTTTACTACCGCTCTCGAATCCTTTTGATTCGGGACTATTTTCGTAATCGGGAAAACTCCGTGGTTATCGTCTCCCTTACTATTGTATCGAAAAAGTTTATAATTTAAATTAGTATTATTGCGTTCTAATTAATAGAGTGATTTTCTGGATCCTGGAGTGTGGCCACTGAGCCTACGCATCGTTACTGCTTCTTAATATCGGGACGTACGTTAGTCTATATTTGCTATCGTCTTACTTTGTTTCGATTCCTTGAAAGAATTACGCCTCTGTAAATTTACCTGTTTCTTATTTATTTCATTCTCGCGAATATTAGTTTTATTCACCATTGCCGTATTACTGTTATATCTGTGCTTTCTTCTGTTCAAATTCCGATGTACGGTGATATGCCATTGCTTAGCGTTCTTTAGGAATAGTGCTATCGTAATACTCAAACCTTAGGGCTATCGGTCCATGAAGGGTGCGCTATTAGCTACGCCAGTGTAATAAAGTTGTTAGGGCTATCGTACGACTCTTACACGACACGTACTGTACCTTTTGTAATCTATACTCGACCGATTTTCGGCATATCACTATCGTTATTAATATTGTCCATATTGTAGTACACCACTTTGTTCTTTCGTGCCCGAGTATCTCACGTAATTGGGGACCTAGCTATCGAGCGGTCCAACCTACTGCACTTATTGTTTTATTGATGTCCTAATAAAAAGGGCTTTATTATAATTTGTTGAAATCCTATTTGATTACTTTCGTGATTTCGCTAGCTCCCAATCCAAGAACCCTGCCCCTCTATCATTGTGTTCCACGGTGAACAGGCTGAGCTAGTGTGTTGTCGACCGAATTTTCGTGAGAGAGGTTACCGGTTACCTTGTCTCGTGAAATCGGTATTCCTAGAGAATACCTGGCGCCCAGGTCTTCTATCGGGTATAGTCTCGATTGGTGCTCTCTCGAGAATTCGTGTACTTGTGACGGGATATTTTAATTCTTCCGCAATCAAGGTTTTCACGTTTTCTATTACCGAACAAAATTTACCGTTACAGTATGTTGCGAAGTATAAGAGAAAAACAAACATTTGAGATTGATTCTAGCACGAATTCGACTTGAGTAGTCGAGAGTTTTGCGCTGTAGAAGCCCTTGACCCCCCGGACCCTCGCGATACTTAAGCACGTTTCACTGCACCACGCTATGCTTTTAAAATATGTCGCTCTTAAGCGTTGTATTCTCTTACTAGAAAAATTAACAGTCAACATACTACTACTTAACTCAGAGTGTACTATATATATACATATCTACTTTACATTGCGATTATAAAAAATATTGGGATAACAATTTACGCAATAATAAAAAATTGAAGTGACCTTTCAAGTACGTAAATTGCATTTGACAAGATTACATTACAAACTGTATAATACGTGTGGATATTGACGTGAGAATTATGAATATTCAAGACTACTTTTCAAGACGAAAAATTGCTCCAGTTAGTGGAGAACACTGTAGCACTTGAAATAATTAATCAACGCGTATGTATGCTACATCACGAAACCTGTATAGGCTCTTATCGCGGGAGTTCCTGTTGCGTAACAATCGACATGTGAATCTAAAGAAACTAGACACTAATGGAATACCAGCTTGAGAGCAATACACATCATTGCGTTATGTTATACCTTATTAATTCTTATATCTAATATACCGTTCATTAAAAATAAGAATGATTATACTGATTATAATTAATGACGATAGGTACTTGGACTAATGACGTATTATTACGTTTCTTGTACAGTCGCTGTAAAAATTAAATGTTTTACTGTCTTTAATACAATTAAATGATCATTCGTGAAACGTACCTTTCGCATCCATGAATGCCCAGCAAATATCTGTCAACGGGATAGACAGCATTGCGCAAAAGTACAGTACAACGTTCCATTTCATTTTCGTTATTCGAAAATTGTCCTTGGCAACACGTCCTGAAGTCCGTTTCTCCTCCGTTTAAGTTGGCTCAGCAGCCTCTCTCATCTTTTCCCCGCACTTCTCTCCTCTTGCTGGTCTCGCTCGAGTTCTCCTCGTATTGTGGACACCCTCTACCAGAGGGAAGGGTACGTTGGTAGCACAAGAAGGACGAGGGCTTATCACGCAGATAACACCTATAAAACAAGCAGCCGCACGGTAAACACCAGCACTTTTGTGTAATTAACCGGCCGCTAATCTTCAGCCGCGATACCACTTGATACCGAATGAAAGCGCACGGACCATTCGCCATGGCCAACAAGAGTTTCATGATTTCCTAAACTATGCAGACATGCTTAATCGAATACAAATGGCCGGTGCGTAAATTTGTTTATGAAAAAAAAAAACAAATTTCAACAAAATATCTTGCAGTTTCATCTGACTGATCTGGTACAGTAGCCAACATTAACATACTATATATATACATATATTCCTTGCTTTATACATATTGTACTGATGGAAATAATGCAAGGTAACATTTAAAGGATCATAATTTAAAAATGTTAATGTTAATATAATATTATTTCCATCTAAATATTGTTGTTTAAAGTAAAAAAACAACATTACGTATGGGATGTCCTGGTATGTCGGTCAGTATTTAGAAATATGGGTATTTTAGTTTGCTACTAAACAATTGAAATATTTGCTCACCGCTTGTTAGAAAATAAACCTTCTTTCATCAACTACAATGATGCAAGTCTCTCCCATATTGTAAATGATAGTTTCAAAAATGTTTATAGGACGTTTATGTAACGTTTATAAAACTTATAACATCCGTTAGACTATTAATGGGCATCATTGATACTTCTGTGCTGTATACGACAACAAGGAGAAGCGACCATAAGACTATAGGATAGACAGAATTCATGTTTCTTTTATTTCCATTCCTGTTGTAACGTACTCGCACGTATCGCGTGATATAAAAAGGTTTCTTCCGGTTCGAGAAGGTCATCCGGAATGATAAGAATGAGCACCCATATCGCACGTATGGATCGAGGAATAGGTCGCCTTTCGAATTCTATTCAGCTATATGTGTATACGTGGTACAACAAGAGTATTCTCAGGTTCCGTTAAGAAACGTGCGCGAACCGATGAGCTTAGAAAAACAGCTCACGGTCGAACAACGCGCGAGAGCGATGGGCTTTAAAAAGTTTTTCCCACAGGATCCACGACGAAACTCTGGACCTGCCGGCATTACCCTGAAGAATACTGAAGGATAAAACAACAGATAATCATGATGCTCCTTATTCTCGTGGCAAAGCGCAATTGACAAGACCACAGGAGAATTACGGAGTTCTCTGGTTTCCCACCACCTATTCTTCCTCACTGTTCAACCCGATATTCAACATTACATTTTATCTATCACATATTTTCCCTTCCACAGTAAACTTCCTTAACAATCGCAACTGTCTTTGCGACTTCCTTGGCTTCTACGTCTATAGCTTCAACAGTTCGTATTTCTAAATTGTACCGCAATAACACTTAAGCACTCTGCCGAACGTCTAATTTCTTCTCTGCAAATGGCACCCTTAACCCCCTCCTAAGACTTCATTAGGTCGTTTTAATTAGCCTAGAATCTCTTGGCATCCTTTAATTAGTCGCCTGACGATCTTAGAATCCTAATCAAGGCACGATTCAAACACTTTTCTTCTTTACTCTTTCACTTTGACATTTCCACATGTTTAACCACCATAATCATCGCATCTTCTTTTTTTTCACGTATTTTTGGTTCTTTTTTGTATCGCACAGCTTCCACCCACACATGATTGTGAGAGATAATGCGGTTATTCTACCAAGGCTATTAGGAACATCAGACTCCCCATTTAGAACTTTGGAAACCGACACAATAGGGCCAAATTACGGACGTTGTAAAGTTTGCGTCCGAAGGAACATAGGCTGAGTGAAAAAGCAGCGACCTGTCACGTAGCTACTAATTCCGTCGCAAAAAAGTCAATCACGATTGGAAGGAGTGATAGGGATGAAAGGAGGGGGGGGGGTGCGGGACAGGGAGTAGCAAAAGCGAAGAGGCGGGTTCTCTCGAGACACGGGACGGGTAATTTTAACGGCAATTACCAGATCCAATTGGGAGTTGAATAGACGGAGAAGGGCTTACACGACAACGTGACAGAGAATTGGCTAGACCGAGAGGTCAGAACTCTCAGGGTGAGACACAAAGTTCAACGTTGCGGTGGCCAAAGGACGCCAGTCACCGAATTAGAACCTGTTCGAGAGAATCTCGATGGAAATGGCACCGAAGCAAGAGGTCAGTACCTCTGGTTCATATACACTGCGCCACCGTTATACTTGTCTTACCCTTTATTATATACATATTAAAATTGACCGAAAAAGTTGAAAATTCTTGCTTGTTTAAGCAATAGATTAAATAAACTGGTGGTCTATCTATTAGTATATCTGTTCGGAAATGAACTGTGTCAAGAAAAATTCACTTATTATTTATCCCCGGACAAGAAAGACCTTTATTAATTGGGCTTTAGCGACACTAGAAATGCTATTGGCTCGGTCCTTTGGGACTCTACGTTAAAATAACAGACAAACTGGTCTTCCTTTTGCTCCGAAACAGCCTACTTCACTTAAGAGTTATTGCCTTTTTTTACCGAGTTAACAGGAGCCGATTCTCTCAAGTTTACCGCCATGCGTGGCCTTACTTACGAACGGATATGCAGTGGTGCATAACGCATTTACTATACATATACAGAATTTGTGAAACTCGTTGGGTCTCTGCAGAATAATATTTCATAAGAATGGAAACAATTTCTGAGTTTGTAATTCATATTAAGCCGTTGGTACAAGTTAACACTTTGAGAATTAACAGTTAGCAGATCTACTATGATCCTGCACTATATGTATACTTAGGATATCAATTATATTGTTAAACGGAAAAAAAATTGTATTTTAAATATAATAAAAATAATTGAAAAAGTCGGTAAGCGAGATTCTAAAGAATTTCGTTTTAATGCTTTGAAGTATATTATACATATTTCCCTACCATCGAGATATTAGAAATATGGTACTCGGGGGTTTTTGGGATCACTAATTACGAATCTGGAATCAAAACCCAGAAATTGAAAATAGCGGATCCAATATGGCTGACCAAAATACAAAAAGGAGCTTCATGTAGATGAAACTCGGTACTCAGGGATACTCAATACAAATTAAAACTCGTTTTTGAATTTAGGCCGCCATATTAAATCCGACAATTTGAATTTCTGAATTTCGATCGCGGACTCGTTATCACTGTTATCAGCAATCCAAAAAACCCTGAGTATCGAGTTTTACCTTGAATGAAGGTATTTTTTCTATTTCTATCGCCATGTTGGAACCGCCATTTTGAATCTGAAGATTTTTACTTCAGATCCGAATTCAGTGAATCTTAAAACCTCCGGGTATCAATTTTCGCTTGAATCGGACGTAAATTACTATGTTTCTTTATAGAGTTGCCAGGTGGTACTACTGACTAGCACCATGCTTCAAAGGCTTGATACTATACTATTTCCTTACTGACCTACCATTCGTATGAATACATTATAGGGCTTGTTATAGTATAGTGTGTGCAATGTATAGTAGTAGAAATGTAAGTAACAGATACGTATTGACTTGGATGAATGCAAGAAGAAAGCCACCAAGTATTTTTTACTTACAGTTAGACCTGGACTTTATACATATACATATGTATACTGTCAAAACTAAGTTCTGTAAGAACAGCAATGGAACTAAAAGTGAATGCGACATATTCTAAATGATAATCATATCAAAAGTACTTACTCCCCTATCGATAACAACGCTTTGATTAAATTTACTGCCGTTTTGTACAAACCCGAGGAAAAATGATTAGATATAATCAGAGTTATGATCAGATCTTACTTACCAGATCCGAAAAACGACCTGATCTGATCATCTAGTCATAGGTGTATGTACATACAATAACTTAATAATATATGATTAGGCCGGGTCAGTTTTTAAAACTGATTATATCTGGTGGATTAAATACGATCAAGTCTGATCTTACAGATAATTTTTTCTGAGAAAGTGGAGAGATTATCAAAGTCTCAGAAAAATATTGAATTTTGTTATATAGAAACATAAGAATATCGTAAGATTTAACATGCATAACAATTTCGTTATATTGTTTATTACATTATTTCTTCGCTTATTGTATAATTTTTATTAATTAGATTGATATGCAAATATTTAATATCAAAAATATATTTGGAACGGCTCTTCAAATTTTGTTCAATCAATATAATACTTTTCCAATGCTTGTATTATTTCTTTTTTTGTTTTTAAATATGTTCTTCATTGTATTTTATTGTAAAGAATCTCGAGAGTTAAGAAACTAAAAATTTACACACTATCAACAAAAGTATTCGGAATTAAAATGCTATAATTTAGTCGGGAATTTAAGATTTAATAACAATAATTCCATCTTAAGTAAAACACGTCATCTAAATGAAATATTGAAATGAAAAAATTGCATATGCATACCAAATGCTAATGTTATCTTGCTATGACAATAACAACACAGCCTCTAATCCATCTGAACAACACTTTCAATTATGTCAACAATACACGCGTTATCCAAAATATTTTTAGTCAAAGTGTGCTACCATTTTTCAGTGTATTGGCAAACATATTCCTAAAGTATATATTATCATTGAAGATGAAATAGCTTCAAGCTATGGACTAAATTTAAATTAAATTTATGTTAGCGGCGCGATAATAGTAGAAGGCATAGAGAAGAATTTGACACCAAAAAAGAAATTTAAAAAAATATAATTTTTTCGGAATTAAGAAAGTGGATCCCATTGAAAAAACCCATTGAATCTTCTATATAGTACAGATATACGCAAATCGTTCGGTCATCTGTTCTATCCCGTGAGAGTAGGTATCGTTAGATATCGCAGTCCATCTACGAAGGGTCATTTGAAGACCCCTCTGATCCCATATTCCTTTTGCATGATATATTGAATATAGTGCGGTTGAAGAACATAAATGAAATTCCAATATTGGAAAACATATGTACGGTTATTCAAGATAAGATCACCAAATAAAGTCAGCCTGCCCATTTGATACTTGTGATACGAACAACTTCAGTTTATGCATTTGCCCTAAATAAACT